CATCATCAACAACATCGTCTACAACGTCGTCCTCAACAACAACAACAGACACAACAACAACAACTACATCATCATCAACATCGTCCACAACAATAATAACAACAACAACAGACACAACAACCACAACAACAGGTAAAAATCTTGAGGGCGGGTGTGGGTGTGTGAATGAAAACAAAGTAGGTACACACTCACACCCACACTTTGCATATATTTTATTTTTATTTTTATTTTTGTATAGTCACTACAGCTGGATTGGTAAATCCTTGTACGTATACATACAGAAACAATTTCGACTAAATATAAGTCTATTTTTTTGTTTTCTTCATTTTCCAGGCATCAATGGGATGTACTGGAATACAACCGCTTCATCGCGTGCAGGCACTGGTACATCAGGCACAGGTCCGAATCAGTTATCTTCGCCAACTGGAATATTCTTAGATTCAAGTGATAATTTATATGTTGCTGATAGTGGTAATTATCGTGTATTGAAGTATGCACCAGGTGTTACCAATGGTAGTGTTGCGGCTGGTGCAACAAATGTATCCGGCACTGACTTGAATTTATTGTCTACAGGTATTCGTTATATTTTTGTTGACTCGAGTCAAAACCTCTACGTCGCTGATACTTTTAATAATCGTGTGATGTTTTGGGCAAATGGCAGTTCCTCTGGTACGATAGCGAGTGGTAATGGCACTTTTGGAACTTCGTTCAATGAAATATATTCTCCATATGGTATATGGGTAGATTCGAGTTCGAATGTATACGTGGCGGAGTATCAGAATCAACGTGTAACTAAATGGGCATCAGGTGCAACAACAGGTGTTCTCGTTGCTGGTAATACAAGCTCAGCAGGTAAGCAAAACGGTGCAAAATATATCTACCATACTATGGAAATAATTGTATTTCAAGTGACAAGAAATAAGTGCAATTTAATCCGAGTAGGCGGGGAAACACTGAAAAGTTACATAAATCCAAAAAACAATCTTCGTAATTATCTGTAACAACTTTTCTTGTACTCAAATGACACTTCCAGTAAGAAATATAAGAAACCATAAAACAAACAAGAACTTAAGAATTCTCGGGCAGTTGTTTCATATTGACAAGTCATCGATCCAGACTAATACTGTTTCTACATTCATACAGGTTCAAAAAGAATTTTTTAGGACTTTCGACAAAATATATAATTAAATGTTGTCCGATCGACACTCACCCATACTCAAATTTGACGGACCTTATGTAATAAATTTTTCTTTTCATTTTTATTATCAGGAAATACAACAAACAAATTAGCATCACCGGCCGGTCTAGTATATGATAAAGCAAATCAAGATTTATATATTGCCAATTCTGCTACCGCTACTTCAACAGTAATGAAATGGCACGTTGGCGATCCGAATGCTACAGTCATAGCGGGTACTTCGGGAAGTCCAGGAAACAGCACAACTCAATTAAACTCTCCAATGGGAATAGCGCTAGATCAATGGAAAAATTTATATGTGGCTGATCGTACGAATAATCGAGTTCAATTGTTTTGCAATGGTAATACAACAGGTATTACCATTGCAGGAAGTGGTGCTGGTGGTACTACTTTGTCTGCTCCATATGATGTCAAACTGGATTCAAGACTTAATTTATATGTCAGCCTAAATAGTGGAGCTCGGATACGACAGTTTAATAAACTCTAAGAGAAATCAACCGAACTAACTCATCATTATTCATTGATATCTTTCTATATATTTATTCATTATTTTGTTCATTTAAAGTGTGAAATAAGAACTTCATTTAGTATCTTTCTTTTTCTCCGCATTTTCTTTTCATTTTATTCTTTGAAATAAATTATTTCTAATCTTGACTTCGATCGTATAATGAAATCGACAATCAAATTGATCTTATGAAAGACATCCTACGAGTTCACCGCTAATATATAAAAAATACTTCCATAATATCGTATAGTCATCTCTTCATTTTCATTCTAATTTAACGATAGACATAGACAGAACATTTTAAATGAACACATTAACATATAATTGATACGTTTGACATTGTTCATTTTGTTAACAAATGAGAAACTTCTTACATTTATATTTTTAAATGGAAACAAGATAAAACTAAGAAGAAAAACTTGTACTTGAATTTGTTTTAATAAAAGAAAACTTTCCTTTTGTTAAATTTAGTTATAACCGAACAAAACTAAATTCGAATTGTTTCTTCATTCTATTGAGATTTTTTAATTAAAACTTCTTTATTTGATTCGAAAATTCTAAACTACAAAGTTAAGCTTAACATAAATTTATTCAACAATTTAAAAACAAAATAATCTTTTCATTAAAATATTAGAAGAAATTTAGAAATTCTCTTTATTCTCACAAGTATAAATTTAATATTAGAGTAAATCTTTTAAAAAACAAAAAAATTGTTATTTGATTAATCTGTTGAAATAATACTTCATATAGAGTTTTAATGAATTTAAAATAAAAATATTGACGAGAATATTTTGAATAAATTCTTTAGATGAAATGATGATATTTTTTATAAAATAAACCAATATGATATTTAGTTAATGCAACGTTTCATTGATGAAAATAGAAGTTATTGTTTTGTTCAATACATCAAATTTAGTAGAGAGAAGAGTTATCGGATTACATATACTCAATTTTCAAGTGTTTATTAAGAAAGAAAAATGAACAGTATAAAAAACAAGTATCAGCATTAGATTTTACTTGGAAAATGTACCATGATTTACTTATCGATATTCGTCACCACAATCTCCAATTGATCGATACAAATCTTGTGATTTTCGTGATATTGCTTCTATTTTTTCAGTATCGTCGGCATCAAGACTGAATTCATATACTCTGGCATTGTCTTGAATATGTTCACTTATGCCTAATCTAGCACCAATAATAACACCACCTACTGTTGGCTTGTCTAAAATGTAGCGTACAGCAACATTAGCAATACTAACATTATATTTATTTCCAATTTGTTTGAGAACATTAAGTAATTCTTGAAATAATTGCCATCCTCCCCAATTATCTATCATATTCTTGTATTTTTTTAAACTACTAGTATTCAGTTCTTCTTTTCGTGGTTCTGGTTTACTAAGATATTTTTCTGATAGTAGACCACCGCAGACTGTCCCATAAGTTAATAGTTTAATATTGTGTTGTTGACAGAATGGTATCATATGCACTTCTGGACGACGATCTATTATTGAAAATTGTACTTGATTAGAAACGATTTTAATACCTGCTTCGTGGATAATTTTTAAGCGTTGAGTATCAAAATTTGTTAAACCTAAATGCTTAATTTTGCCTTCTTTTTGAAGTTCCGACAGATATCGTAGAGCATCAAGATAACTATTATTACCATAGTCCCACCAATGAAATTGAAGTAAATCGATGGATTCTACCTGCATTCTTCTTAGAGACTTATTAATATTTTCTTCAACCAGTTTTTTTGTCATTTGCGTTGGTTGAGGTACCCATTTGGTAAAGATTTGTAGACTATCTACAGCTGCTTTACCACGAGCAGCAAGTAGTTGACGTCTGAACTCTCCCATTAGATCTTCAGCTGGTCCGTAATGATCGGCTAAATCCCATGTAGTAAAGCCAGCATCCAAATAATGAAACATATTTTTCACAGCAGCGGTTGGATCAATACGTCCATGACCACCAGATACTTGCCACAAACCGGTTAAAGTTCGGCAAATGTTCATATCAGGCGTCAGCTGTAATCGGCTTAAAGTAGGCAATGCCATCGCTGAAGTTTGTATATAAGAGGCGTGTTCGGAAATAATCGATGAGGTATCAACTTGCTTGATAAATAGTCTAAAATATTGTAAAAAATCTATGCATTATTGCTGAGACTAATATCTTTAGTGACTGTTAAATTTTTGATCTGACTTATCTCATAAAGTATTTTGTTCTACACTAATATGATTCAGAATAGAAAAGAATTTGATTGGCGCATGCTTCTATGCAGTCATATATCAGAATTAAAGATGTCAGAAACATGAGTTTCGTCAGAAAATAATTATTTCTATTATGCATATGAGCAGTCTAATTTAAAATGATGATTTCAGTATTCTATGAGCGATTGATATTTCTAGAAGTTCTTATCTACTCGAGCTGTGGTGAATTTCACAGTATCGGTTTGAACGAATCATTTTAATTACTTTATTTTATTAGATTATAATCAAAAACCATCTTGAGAGTGTGGGTGTGGGTATAGGAAAGGTGAAAGAAAAGAGAACACCCACACCCTTCTTACAAGATTGCTTCTTTTTCAAATAAAATCACAATTTAATTCATGAAAAAATCAAACTAACTCGCTTTTCACAATTATTCTTTGATTTCGGTGACTTCTGCATTAAGCATATATCAGATATCGACACTTTCAATATGGTGTCGACGATCTATAACTGTCGATACAATCTATTTACACGAATTACATAATTTCTTCTATTTCACTATTATTTTTGTTTACTTTTTTGTAGACATATGTATCTTTCGTTACGAAGAATACAGTTTTCTATCAACAATATTTAATTGCACAGCACTTAAATCCATTTTACTCCATACGAATTCTTTTTCTCTTCTTTCCAATCACACTTCTTATGTATTGTGGACCTTTAATGTTTTCTTTTCAATCTTTACACATATTCTTTCGCCATAAAATACGTAGCAGAAAAAAAGAAAAAAAGTGACAAATGCTGTTACTGTATAAAACAAACTAAACGAATCATTCGGCGAAAAGAACATTCAGTCACACATACACAATACCATCCTAAAATAACAAACTATTATAATTTTTTCAAATCATTTCATTTGGGTAAGTTTGAAGGATGTGTGTATGTGGGTGGGTGTGGGTGTAGACGAAGATTCTATACTCTCATCTACACCCACACCGGTCTGTTACAGTCTGCGGAAGGAACGCGTTCAAATTTTTACTTCTAAACACTTTAACTCTCTCTTTTAAATTGTGTTTCAGAAAATATCGTCAAAATGTCCACTAACCCAAGATTAAATCTTCATACATTGCCAGTTGAAATGGTCTATCGTATTCTGGATAAACTTGATAATTTGACCATTCTCTGTTCATTACAAAGTGTTTGTCAACGACTAAACACAATTCTAAATACTTATCAGCCATATAAAGTATATTTACATTTCCTAAAAGAATAATTTAAAAGTTACAGAGATGTGAATATGACTAATATTTCCAAAATTTAAAAGTTTCATCTTCTACAATGCATATAGTATCAGTTAAAAGCCAGAAAACAACACAAACTGATTCGAATTTTTACATTTAATAAATCTTTACTATGCTTATTTTAGACACTAGATCAACTTTGTTATCGTCCTTATAAACCGCAACTATATCAGATTGACGAACGGGCGGTAAAGTTTCAGTTACTGTATCTACTCTAGCATCCAATAAATCTTTACTATGCTTATTCTAGAGATTGTATAGATTGTATTGTAATTCAACAATGCAGCAAGTCCCAATTGATACATATCGGGTAGAGTTTCAGTTAACATAGTTATTTTAGTATTCCGCATGGTTCAATTTCTGTTACTTCATGAAAATAAAAATCATACCACATGAATACTAGGTCTAAATCTAGTTCACTTTTCGAACATCAACAATCAAAATTTCTTTTATTCATTCTAATGAATTTACTTCCATATCATTTCGAAATCTGACATATGGTTCTCTTAGAATATATATATATATATATATCAGATCATATTCAAAAAATCTACCTCATTCAAATTCAATCCATTCTCATTCTTGAAAATTTACAGAATTTTCAGTATTTTTATTGGCAATAGTTTATACCACCTAAAAACTTCCAAGTACGATAATACTCTCATGATTTCATGACTTACCGTATTTGAATATAAATGGAGACTCAACTGCAGAATACTAATTCGAAAATAAATGGTGAAATTTAGGAATAGATTTAGTTTTACTTTTACTCGAAGATGTATATGACTCATATACACGACCGAGGGTTGATGAAAAGAAGGTGGCAAAGCTGGTGAAGGGGGAAGAGCAACATGTGGGTGAGGAGGAGGATTTATCTGTAAATTATTCTAAAAATAAATCTATTCCTAGAAATATCTACTAGTTTTCTTTTGTTAATGTCCATTTATATTCGAACTCGAGTTAGGCAGCTACATGATTCATTCCATTTATTTAATTATTCTTCTGATACTGTTAACTTTCTCAATAAATCTAAAACCTCAGATATTTATATAGTTCTCATAATTGACGCAGTCATCCTATTCCGCGATCTTGAACATGACGGAATCGATTTTGAATCTGCATTAAACCGAAACAGTATTTAATTCCGAAATCCATTGCACTTATTCCTAGAATTCTAGAAGTGACTCTGACAATTCCGGTAACTTTATCCAATGCCGCAATTGTAGCTTCTATTATTATACTATTATCTCTGATAAATCTCAATATCGTCTGATTCTGGCCAGCGGTTCCGGAATCGCTCGAAACCGAAATATATAAGAATTTCTAGCATTGGGGATTTCATCTGATTTTAGGATTGCACTTTCTAAGGATGCAAAGGTGAGAGCAAGCTGGGGATGAGGGATTCGCAATATTAAGCACTATCCAATATCGTAAACATCGTAGAATGAGATGTATTCTCTATAATTGTGATAATTCGAGATTTTTGTGAGTTTATTTAATTTTAACTGTTAATATTCGAAAAGTGATTTCGATGTAAATCTGATGTTTATACGCTATAATTTTTCGAATATACTGTGAAAGAAATTGTGTCATATGGAATACTATATTCTGTTATAAGAATTCTATACTTTTGGAATAGTATGTCGATGGTTTTAATATGTGGAAACGTCGAACTGCCCCAATTTGTTACTTAGCAAAAGCGCTACAATATAATACGGTAAGATAAATTTCTTTGTCAAGAAATCTATTACATATTTATGATATTAAAATCTACTAATATCGAAAAGATAATTTCACAATATGAATGGTAGACAACTACGGTAGATTGTCAATCTTATTTGATTACAAATCAAAATGAAATACTCAAGATTATTTCTATCAATACAGACACTCATTTCATTAAAATTGGAATTTTGTGATATTGACAATGATTCGGCACGCCATTTAGCAACCGCCTTAAAAACTAATACAGTAAGATGAGTTTTCATTTTATTGTTGTTGAAATCTCGTTTTAGACACTCAAAGAACTCAACCTTCATGAGAGCAAAATCAGCAGAAACGGAATTGTTTATCTACTGAATGCATTGAAATCGAATTCAGTGAAAAATTCTCTTGTTTTTAATCATTTTTTTGAGATTTTGTATTCATTTAGACATTAATTGAATTAGAAATCTTTAATAATCGTACTGGTACTGCTATTGATAATGTATTCATGGATTATTTACTCGATATTTTCGAACAGAATTCAGTACATCTATTTTTATTTATTTATCAATTCATTGATATTATCATTATTGATTTCAGACACTTCAGAAATTAGTTTTTCATCCCTGGTTCTGTGTAAATATTGTTAAACAATTACAACAATTATGTCTCGCCAGACATGGGAAAATAGTAGAAAAGATACTTTGAATTAATACTTTATGTATTCTTATATAATTGCATATAGATAGTGACTACATTATATTTTCCTCGAATGTACTTAGGCGACAAAGAAATAAAGTGTTTAGCAGATGCATTACAAAAAAATCAAGTACAATCTGCTTGTTTCTAATATTCATTTGTATTATTTCATATAGACATTAACTGATCTGGATGTTAGCTCGAATGAATTTAGTATTAGAGGTGTTAAATTTTTAACTAATGCATTAAAATTGAATAAAGTCAGATCGATTATTAATTCATATATATCCTACAAATTTATTCCATTAAATATAGACACTGACTACATTAAATTTAGGAAATAATCAAATAGGTGATAATGGTATAGATTATTTATCTGCTGCACTAAAAGAAAATGAGGTCGTAAAGGTTTTCGTTTATCTCTCTAAAACGAGCTTTTATTGCAAATAAATTTAGACACTTATCAATCTGAATCTGTCTCGAAACCAATTTGGGGATAAAGGAGCTCAACATTTAGCAGATTTAGTAAAAGAAAACAAAGTTAGTTTGATTAACTCTTCATTATGTTTCACTTGTATGATTTTCTTCAGAAGCTTATTGAATTGAATCTTGAATGGAATAATATTACTCATCAAGGTCGTTCTGATCTGATATATGCTCTTCAATACAATGAAGTAAGTACTGTATTATTTATTTTTGATTGATATATATATATATATTCGACTGGTTTATGCATAGACATTGATGCAATTATATTATTCTGTTAATCTGAATGATCGTATTGTTTTAAAACAACCTTTAATCAATTCAATACGTCAAATGAAAGTATAATAAATCTTCTTCTTGCGTTTAATTAACATATATCTATTCATTCAATCTAGACACTTACCACATTGGATCTAAGTAACTGTCAAATCTCTGATCTACTGATGGAACCATTCGCTATTGCCATGAAAAATAATTCTGTAAGAGAAATTTTTCGATATGTTTATCTATGATCTTCAATGTGAAATGAAAACAATAGTAGAAAATATCATATTTCGATTTTCATCCATATTTCACGTAGACACTAATCGATTTAAATCTTCAAGCAAATGAGATCGGTGATACAGGTGCCAAGGAGTTAAGCAATATATTAAAAGAGAATGAAGTGAAATTAATTTTCTATGTCTTTGTCATAGCAAAGTTGTCCTAATTCAATTTAGACACTTCAAATACTAAATCTTCAAAATAATCGAATCTATAATGACGGTGCGAGATATTTAGCTGATGCATTAAAAACTAATACAGTAAAAGGAATTTCTTATTTCTCTGTATTATACAGATGTGTTTATTAGACACTTATTACACTGAATCTTTCAGATAATAAGATTCTTGAAGAAGGAGAATATCATTTATTGAATATGGCATTATTTAATATAGTATGAATAGTATTGTATTTAACCGTAAATTTTTATCTTTGAATATATTTAGACATTGAAAACATTGTATGTCAATAATGATAAAAATCTTATTGAACTATCAACATTCTTAATCAATACAATAAATCAAATGAAAGTAAAATAAATATTCACTAATGATTTTCTTGAAAAAATATAATTCGATTAAAGACATCCACAAGCATCGATCTCAGTAACAAATCACTTCGTAATCCAGAGATACGAATTTTAGCAAATGTATTACAATCTAATACTGTAGAGTTAGTTTATTTTATTACTATTTATTCAAATTTATATATATATAGATACTTACTACACTTGATCTTCATCATAATGAAATTGATAATGGTAGTGCAGAGTATTTAGCTGATATTATGAAAAAGAATATAGTATTCAACATTTTTTGTTTTATATATTCACTAATCTTGTTGTTCATAGACACTTATTACATTAAATCTTCGACATAATAAGATTAATTCTGATGGTGTATTTCACCTTTGCCATGCATTGGACAAAAACAAAGTAAGATTGAATTCTTTTCAAAATTATATTGAAATGATTTTATTCAGACACTTTCTATACTAAACATCGAAGAGAATCAATTTGATGAAGACAAAATGGAACGTTTCCTGGAAACTAAAATAAAGAATAAAGTAACATTATTCAACCCTTTCGATCTCGGCAGTTTCTTGCATTCTGTATAAACACGAAAAATAGAAAGTCTCGTTCTCTCTCTCTTACGTTCAACCATCTCTATTTGAATTAAGTGTGATTATTGACATAAAACAACGCAAGAAGAAATTGCTGTTGTAAGAAAAATCATGTGTGGAATTTTTAGTTAAATATCGTATAATATTCGTCTTCTAAGAATATAAATGAACGAAAAAAATATCTTTCGCGTTCTCTACGTCACATCCGAGATAACATCAGAAATTGAAAGGAAGGGTTTACAATCAACTATATGCGACACATTGATTTTTAATTTTAGACTTGTACCATATTTTTCTTGAAATGTGATCGAACTAATCAACAAAATCCATGTCATTTGTTATCATCTATATCTGATTCTGATGTAAAATAAATTCTTTATTTACTATTTTCATATATATTTATTCGATTTACATTAGACACTAACCACGTTAGATTTTCAAAACAATCAGATTAGTGTTACTGATGCATACGAAATTAGTCATCGTCTACCATTTCTTACAGTAGAATTGATTATTTATTTGTTGATTAGAAATGAATTTCTATGTTTTATTGTAGACAATTACGACATTAAATTTTCCAATTTGTCAAATTACTGATGAACAAATCAGATATTTTTCTAATGTTTTAACGGCTAATCGAGTAGAATTCCTAATAGATATGATCAATTTTTCCATAAATATATTTTTAGACAATCACTATGATTAATTTACAAAATAATTTCATTACAGATCAAGGTGCTAATCGTTTAAATTTTGTTTTAATATTTAATAAAGTAAATTTAAATGAATATCTTTGGATATTTATTTGTTAAAATTTAGACCATAAAAATATTAGATTTGAAAGGAAATCATATTTCAGTAAAACTGGCAAACCGTATTGCAAATTCTATACAAGAAGCTTCAATAATAAATTTCGAAAGAGATACTATTAATGATCAAGAATTACAAGAATTGATTGATTCACTACAAAACAATATGGTAATATCAATTTTCTATGTGAAAAAAAAGTAACTGCCGATCATTGAATTTAGACACAAACTACATGGAATCTTCAAAACAAAAGACTTGATGGTCGAGCCATACGTATTATAACAAAATCACTTTACAACAACACAGTAAATTCATCTTTTACTCTTTCTAATTTATGTGTTTTTTTCTTCTTTATATTATTATACAGAAAGTTACAACATTAGATTTATCATACAATACAATTGCGAATAACAGTGGACGAATGTTTACGTCTATACTGTCACATAATAATGTATAATTTATAATTCAATCATATCAATGTGTGAGATTTTATTTCTAGACACTTCTGACAATTAATCTCCAATATAATAGAATGAAGGATGCTGTAGCTAAACGTTTTGCAAAAGCTTTAGAACGAAATACAGTAAGATACAATTATTATCATGACTTAATTATCTTTTCAATATTGCATATAGACATTAATCAATCTGGATATTGGAGGAAATTATATTACTGGTAGAGGGGCTCGAAGTTTGGCTAAAGCTTTACGAAAAAATCGAGTAAGTTTCATTTCTTCTCTTATGTAGCTTATCAGATATGTTCATTCTTCAGACACTTAAATGTTTAAATCTGCAAAATAATCTAATTGATATAAAAGGTGTACAAAGTTTTGCCAATGTATTAAGAGAAAATCAAGTGAAGTCAATATTTTGATCTTTTTTCTTACTCATTTCAGTTTATTCACACAGACACTTGAGATTTTGGATCTGAGCGGAAATGATATTATTGATGAAGATTTTACCAGAAACATTGAAATAAATCTACCAAGAATCAAACTTTTTTGATAAATAAAAATATTCGATAAACAAGAAACATAACATTTTCCTATTGAAGATGGTACGGATGGGTGTGGTTATGAGCGTCTAGAGCGAAAAGATACACACCCACACCCAACCATGTGGATAATAGAAGAGAAATATTCAAAATACAAACGATCTGGTTTACTCTGCGTCACCTGTAATATTCAAAACGAAATTAGTAATTCCTATTTAATCATTCCTTGTCACAATATATAATTAAGCTTTTGACTCTATGTATTCTGATATGGTAATATAATTTCCTCGAATAGCAATACTCAACTGTTTAAATTTAACAGTCGGATATTTTATCTCACAGGCACGCTTCACATCCTTTCGCGATGTATATAGATGATAGATGTGTTTAATATCGTGAAAAATTGGTAGATAAAAATGAACAGATATTTTACTTTATTAGATTAAGTTTGATAATACGAAATATTCAATATAAAGAAAAAAAACATTTGCAGATATTGTGGTCCTTAAACTCATTTTCGTTTGAGAATACACGTTTTATGCATCTGTTTTTATTGATTGCATATAAAAAATAAAGTATCATATGTGTCATAAATACCTTTACGACAAACAACTTGCATATCTCCATTACATCTCAAGCAAATTAGCTGTTTTTTTCTCGATGATAGATCTATGTTCAAGATTTATATCCATAAAGACGTGCTTAGAAAGAGCCTATGCTAAGTATCACTATTGACTTTAACAAAAAAAAAATTACTTTTTTACATATAAATTTTGAACATGTCTCTATCATTGAGGTGTTCTTATATCTTATTTTACAGTGTATTATAAGGGTGTAAATTAACTGAATAATTGTACTTTATATGAAAAGAGTATGTAATTATTAAACAAGCATTGTTGTTTTAATAATATTTATAAAAAAAAAAGAAATTCGAAACTGTAGATCACTTGTCTGATTTAAATAGAAGAAAAATATTAGATCTGATGGACTTTACCAAGAAATGAACAAAAATTTAGTCTTATTAAGAATGTGTAGATAGAAATATCGTTTGAATAAGTTTTATCTCAACAAATTTTCTTGAGTATGAAAAGAATTACTAGCTGACATGTAAATTGCGGAATATATGCATATCGTATATACAAATTGTCAATCTCGATCACAGTGCATGAAAGTTTTGAAAAAATTGAATTTTTATACATATTTCATATCGTTCTATTTAAACTAACATTTACTTCTCCTTTCCTTTACTCATATGTTAATTGATTAAACTTTTTATTACCTTGGAATAGAAAAAATTAGATTACTTTGTAAAAACATCTACAAACGTAATATATTATTATTAAACAGTATCAAAGCTAAAATATCATAGACGGCATTGATATGCAATATCTTTTACAAAAACAAAAATTCACATTTTCTGCATTTTAATTATATCAAATTGTCTTTTACTTCATCTGCAATTCATACCGTTCAATATTACAAAATAAAATTGTACGATTTATTCTTCGATTTATATTAAAAAAATCTTGAAAACAAAACTTGAACAACATAGTTATATTTTTCTCCGTCAATTTTAGTTCTTCCCAATAGTCACACACAATATTCTTTCATATAATTATTTTAAGTAAAATGTTTTTCCATGATTAATAGAAAAAAAGCGTTGTGCAACAAATAAAAGTAGGGCAAACCCGTTTTGTCTTACTGGCATATAAACTAAACATTTCTTTTTGCATTCTTTTTTCATCAGTCTTCATTTTCCTATATGAGAAGAACAAAAAAAATGTAGAAAGACACTCAAAACTATAAAGACAAATTATTTCCACACAAATTCTCTTGCAACCATACATACGTATATAAATAAATAAATCATGGCTGGTCTCGCAAAATTATTTGATGGACATGTTCTTGATAAATCGAACAAAGAGATTAATCTTAATGATGATCAATTTAAAGGAAAAGTAGTTGGTCTTTATTTTAGTGGTCATTGGTACGTTTAGTTTAACTTGAAAAAGAAAAAAAAGAATTTGAATTTTTTTCTTTTTTTTTATTAGGTGTCCACCATGTCGTGATTTTACTCCAAAATTAGTTGACTTTTATAACAAACATGCACAAAAGAAAAATTTTGAGATTATTTTTGTAAGTTTTGATCGTAATGAAGCAGCTTTTAATGATTATTATAAAGAGATGCCTTGGTTAACATTATCTTTTACAGATCGTAAAAATAAAGAGGAATTAGCAAACAAATTTAATATCTCTGGAATTCCAGCATTAGTTTTAGTTGATGCTGATTCAGGAGATGTTATTTGTACTGATGCAAGAAACTATATTCAACATGAAGATACAAATGGTGATAATTTTCCATGGAAATCATAATGGATTATTTTCATTTTTTTTTCTTCATTGCAATTCATTTTAATTTCATTAAATAAAATTCATATCATATTATATATTGTCATTATGAAAGAGTTTTCTTAAGTATGAATACTACTCAATATAAACAATTGAAATTCATTTGAGATTGATTTATAATACAATTTCTTCTTGTCTTGCTGCCTCAATGGAAAAATTTCTATGACTAATGATGAAAAAATTACTTTGTATAACGTAGAGGTTTAAATAGTCATACAACAGAGCCATCTTTGTAATTAATTTTTGAATACATTATTTTACTTTTTTCTATACTGAAAAATGTGTTTTCTTATAATTAACTGATGATGACAGTTATTCAAATTTTGTTTAGATGTGGTTCTTTATAGAACAGATCTAAATATGATTAGTGGAAATTGTTTAATTTTCGAAGACTTTTTGAGGATTCGGTTGGATACACCACGCGTTTTTTCATTTCTTTACGTCAAGTATCGTGAATATATCTGGAAAATTCAAAATCCAACGATGGGTTTTCCAGTACTCGCTTGCTTATGACTGATCACCGCGATATTCTTTGCGATTCTGTGGTAGTATCTCTGATCATAAAGAAAAAGCAATTGAATAAAAATGAATGAGAATAATGTAAATTAGAGAAAGATGAACAATCTATGTCACATTATTCATGTTTTTAGTCACTTTACTATATGTGAGGTATTGTTCTTGTTGTCCACTATCAAATGTGAATGATATTATATTTCTGATATTGAAGATGTGCACATGAAATTCTTTACGATTATGATACATTATGAAGTAAAATGAAAATAATTAAAGTAAATTGTTTTTCTTTATGTAAACGTTATATTGGAAAAGAACATATTTTCTATTATATATTATTCGAGATCGTTATCCCTATGGAAATCATCGTTTTTTGTATTCATTTTATTATTGTTCTTCAAAGAAAAGTTTACATAAAGGTAAACACGAACAAGAATATTTTCTATAATAACTACGATTGTTCCTGAGCGGAGATTTTTCACGAGAAATATTCATTTGTATCACTATCGAATAGATTATTCAATCCAAAATCTATTACATATTGAGCTATTGTTGCATGTATTTTAAGTTTACATCTGATATATGATATGCTATCACATAGCGTTTGAGAATTGTATCAACAATATCTGTTATAATCTATTAAAAAAACACTCATGACATATTTTCATTTTATTGTAAATTTTTAGCGAAAGTATTTGATGATTATTCTCTGAGCCTTTAGTAAATTTTCGAAGAATATTGTTTTTTTAAGTGTGCAGATCATATTATTTATAAAGGAGGGTGTCGGTGTCTCTTCTCTTAACTCACACTCACATTCACCCCTACTTATGGATATATTTTCATGAACAAATCAACTAAAAACTTTGTCATTTCTCTTTATTAAAAAGTACGTATAAAGATGTTACATTACGTTTTTAATTCTAGTCATGCAAAAAAAAATCGACAAAAGAAAGAAAAGAATAAAGAAGATTATTTTCCAAATGTGCTTTTGCATCGATTAAACGCTGGTACTCCACCACAGAGAGCACCGATAACACAATCAGGCCAGTTAGGTGATACTCCACAGTCAATCATTGATTGCATACAGTCAGCATCAAGATCGCGACCCACACAATCTGCAATGCTGTACACATAATAACCGACTTTATTGCTAAGATTAACAAGCCATTGAGGTCTGGCACGAGGTTGAAATCTCGGATGAATTGCTATCTCATTCATATACATATCTTGGTTTACTTGAGCGTTAATTGATATAATCAGAAGAGTAAAAAGCACAAAACTAACTAAATAAATAAATAATTGATCAGCAAGCAAATTTGAAAAGTTTATTACATACTTTTTATCATTGTTATCGGTAATAATCTTGTAGATATATATTGTCGATTGATTTATGATGAATAGCAATGAATATAAAGTCTGTCTTTTTATACATCGATGATAGTAAGTATTATTCTGGATTAAATGTTAAGCTTTTGTTTTGCTTTCATTATCAAAGCAGTATCACTTTTCAAGAAACTATTTTCGTAGAATGTAACTTTGAAAGATTACTATTAGTGAATGCAAAATACAAAGAAATTCGAAACCTTTTCTAATACTAAGAATAAATTTTGTCGTCGAAACGTAATTTCGAGTCCTTTTTTTTACAAAAGATTACATTTTATATATTTCAAAGAAAAATGAGTGGGTTTGATACAGTGTATATTGAGTAGAACAGTATTCCTCCATAAACCTACATAGACTTTATTTTGCGATAAAAAATGTTCTTAATGATTTGCATATAAGGATGTCGGTATGGGTGCGAGTGTGAGTTAAGAGAAGAGACACCAACACATACCCACATCCACACCGAACGTCGAACTAATCTTTGTCCATTTCAAGTAGATAATATTTTATTTGTTCGATCAATATTATTAAATGATTATTTTTCTATGAACTCAACTTTTTTTAATTATTTAATACATTTATTTAAAAATAAGCCGTTAAAGAAAATTAATAGTAAAATACTACGGAAATCTTTATCGTTTGATAAAAGCTTTTGATAAGAGACGGCGGGATGGGACAGAAAAATCCTTGTCCCGTCGATCTCTGATAAATATAAATATTATGGCCATCCATGCATTCGTATTCCTAATTGTCTTAATTTAGTGAATAAAATATATGAATCTTTTAATTTTCCTGGAGGAGGTCGCCAATATGCTAACATTTCGGTAACTGAAACATGATGTTCGAAAAAGAATTCATCAATTAATGAATGAATTGTTGAATTGTTTAATACTTGATTTATCAAAAAATTTTCTTCATTAAAACTATCAATATCTAATTTAACAATGACATGATCTTCTGGTTTAGCAATTTGTTGTAACATTACCCATGGATTAAATATTCCTGTTTCTGTACAACCAGTATTAATAAGTGTATAAACTGGAAAAACATCATCAGGTAACTGTTCCCATGCAGTTTTTGGATCCAATGGTCTCAATTCAAATGCTATAATTCGATCAAATTGTAAATTTAAACGTTTATAATATTCATAAAACCATCGAGTAGAAGTTTCACTTATATCAACATTCTTTCCATAAAAACTACTTCCCAAATCGAATAATATTCTTTTTCCCTCATTCATATCTCTTTTTATATCTGATGTCTTTGTTATTGATCGTTTATACATCCAGGGAGGTACATTACTATTAAAATTATTTGATATAAAATTTTCAGTTGATATAGTTTGACGTTGTGCCATTGAAGAAGATATATAAAATGGAGCTGAAATTGATAAAAGAATATGTCGTTTTGATAAGAGAATAGCATCTTCATAAAGAGATGAAGGTACTTGAGTATTACTAAGACGTGAACATATTGTTAAAGGATCTCTTAATAAACCAATTAATGGTTCAATTAATTGTGCGATTTCTTTTACATCAGAATAAACATTCGTACGAGAATCAATACAGCGTTGTCGATAAAACATTCGAGAGAAAATTTCATCATTTTTATGTTGTCCACCATTTTTTTGATTTCTTCCAAACTTTTGTAATTCAATTAATCGTTGCATGAATAATACACTTTTATTAACATTATCTGCACGTGTGAGTGTTCCACAAACATTATTTTGCAATTGTTCTATGTTATTATACCACACACTTTCCCATGCACTAGGTGTATAATTAACAAAATACCAATGACATTTGTCTTTAAAAGTTTCTTCTTTTCTTAAACAATATGAATCACATTGAGATTTTGTTTCAACAGATAAATCATATTTAAGACTTTCGACATTATTGTACTTTGTATACATAACCATTAAAGATGTGAGTACGATTACAATCACGAATATTATCATAGATCGATGTGACCACATTCCACCCGAAGAATCATTTCGAAGCATTCGATTAATCATATTGATAGATCTGACTTCCTTTATTTTCTACAATAAAATCAAATATTTTAATAAGGATGTGGAGTATAGATGTAGATGATTGTTCAATATTCTTGAGGGTGTGGGTAAGGGTGTAAGTGAATGTGGATGAGATGAGAGTTAGTAATAATCACACCCACTTTCACTTATTCATACCCTCAAACAAACATTCTTCTTTATATATAGAGATGTATCTCTAGAAGAATCCAAACTCAGAGTCTTTCGAAAATTGATCGGAAAGATACTGTAGTACGATTGATCCTAAGCAAACTTATAGCAGTGACACTTCTTCCTCTCAATCAAATCGAATTTACTTTCAATGAAATTTTTAACAAAGTACCTACCTCGATGGAAGAACTTGTGGACTGTTTTGCTAATCAGTGGATGAAGAAAATCAAAGTTAGTTTTTCGAATGTATCTGATCCTAGAGCTAGAATGAATAATCATGTAGAAGATGAGCGATTTTTCGGCTTCTAAATCTAATAACTAGTTCTTCTTTGATTAGGATGAAGCAATCATTTCCATAAACGCATGGTTCAACTAGATCCCAATATTTTGGCGTTCATCGAATATCTTTAGAAAGAGAAAGTCATCTGTCAATAGTAACTAATCAAGATGCAAGCAGGTGACCAGAAGACTCTAGCAAAGAAGATGTTAGCCATGTAGAAGCAAATTGATATTCTTTGTACTCGCTTCTACAACAACGACATCGATGAATAAAGTATCGCGAAGACCTCTCAATGCTATAAGACATTAAAAATCTGAACGTTTATTGTTTCTTGTATAGTTTTTATCGTATTGCCTTCTTTTTATAAAATAAAAGTATTTCTATTGTATGAAATTCTTATCGATGTCTTTTTCTGGATTTTTTGGTTATCTAGATTTTGCGATATATGCTCGGACGCACGCCAACTAACATTAAAATCGCTTTTTACTCACGTCTTTTGTTTGATAAAAACTTGTTTTCTACTTTCTCATAGAAAGACCGTGACTGTTGATAAAATCAGCTAAGAAAGACGACAAGAAACAACCGACTAGTTGGTGGTATCAGCGATGACTGAATGTATGGCAACGCACACAGTAAAGAGACTGATGAAAATATTCAACGTCAGAAAAAATTAAGCTATTGCAATTAAACACATATGTAACAGAAAGAAAAAAAATTAGACGACAAAAGAACAGATAAAATGCTGCATAAAGAATTTCTTTGTTGCTTTACAACATTTTCACTATTTTCATGTTCCTTACTGACTACACTTTCTGGGAAAAAAAGAGAACAAGAAAAAAAATTCCGCGAAAATCTACTGACGATACAATCATAAAAGCAATACAATCTTTTATTTTTCTTTTTATTAGCAAGAAAACCGGCGATCTCTCTAATTTTTACAGACTATAGATGTAAAAAAATAACAAATAGTAGTCAGTCGAGAAGGTAGAGAACGAGCGGAGAAAGTGAAGTAATTGCTGCATACGTTCATATTCATTGTACGACAATCGCAAGCAAATTTAAAAAATTGAGACGGCTACATTCTAAATGATCACTAAAATAGAACAAAGTCTCATGAATTTATATAATGCTGGAAGTTTACTTCAACAATGAAATAAAAGAAAAAGAAAGTAACGTTATTTTATTTTTGTCTTCTAGATACTGTCTTTTTACGTATATTTGATTATTCGGATCAGAATAAATTGTCAATAGGGAATACATAGAACACAAAGAAGAAGATATGATTAGACCATTTCTCGAAAGGCACTAAATAGCGTAACGTTTGTTATGTTATGTTTTGAAATTGATTCATACGAAAGTACACTGATAGAGAGAAATTTTTCTCTCATTTAAATCAAAATTCTTTTTCATTATCGAAAATCTTTTTTGTTTCTTCTCTTTTGATACCTGATGATCAATATAAAAGAGAATAAAAATTCAAGAGAATCTTTTATTCAAAACTGATTTCGAAGGACAAAATCATTAAAAAGAATTGTTAAAGTAAAAATGATGCTTAGTCATCGATTGTGTTTCTTTAATTTGGATGTGGATGTGGATATGAGGTTTATTACACAACCACACCCAGACACCCACACCCTTCCTATGTACTATAGTGGATGTACGTGAGGGTGAGATTATATTGCTCACTCTTGCTCTCCCTAGTAATTAAAGATTCCGTTGAACAGATAAATACTCGAAACAATCTTCGATCTTTACATGTATGCAAATGAAAGGCAAAAAGTAACACTCGATTTACTATATATTGGTAAGCTATCAATTGATTTGCTTTTCTTCTTGCAATAAGGAGAATAATTTTTTCTGGGAAAGTGAGTGTAAGAAAGAGAATGTAGTAATGAAAGCGGAAGCATTCTTACGGAGAGCAGAATATAATTGAGAAGATAAACAAGCTTTTTCCGGGAAAGAGATTGCGGAAACAAGAACAAACAAATTGTTCTGGGAAAAACTTCAACAATCGAGCAAAGCTGGGTGTGAATGTGGGTGTGATTGTTGCTATTCAAAATCAGGTAATGTCTAAAGTTACGTCGAACAACATTACAAAGAATGAATAGACGAACAAAATTCAATGATTTTATTGATTTTTCATGTGCTGAGGCATAAAAGAAACAAAAAAAGCGAACGCATTTTCACCTAAATGTCCATAATTTACCGTATTACAATTTTTTTTCAAGGTGAGCTAGCCAAAAAATGTATTCTAATGAATTTATTGTTTGCAGTAGAAAGATTATTCTTTGACGTATTAAAATACGCTTATATTATGCATAAAACGTTGAATTGTCGTTACGTGCTGGGCTAGATAATTTTTTACGAGACATTAGAGAGTGTTTTAATATCGCAACGCTGAGTACGATAAGGAATCTTCCTTAAGCTCGTCTAGCACATAATTTTCTATAAATAACATCATGCCCCTCTTATGAGTTTACTATACATTAAATCAACGTTTTCTTTGAGTCAGTCGTATTATTTGTCGAAAAGCGACGAAGAATTGATGATTATTTCAACTACGCGTTCCGATACTCTGCTTGTACGAACTCTATCGTGAATTCAAAAAAAAAAGTGTCAGCAATACACTACAGACACTTATATGAGAATGTAAATGAGGGACGTGAGTGTATGTTTTAATCTTCTCATACTCACCACATACCTTCGCCCACACCCTCAAGCCATAATAATGGCTGACAATTAATCTAAATACGTATTCTGTATGAACAGTCATCTTTATATAGAATATACCAATCATTATAATTTACTCGAATCAATTCAATCTTTGACACATTCTAAAACGGTCTAAACCAAGAGAATGAAGGACAGTAACTATTATTGAATATTTTCCTTATTTAATGTACGTTTGTACATCTATATCATATGTGACATTTTCGAAACTGAAACAATAAAAATACATTAATGTAACCAATTATACATCTTCCTATATCTTGCCCTTTTTCTGATTTAAACGATGTATCGGTCAGTTGATTTAAAAATATAATAGAAGCAAGAAGCACGAAAGGTAAATAAACCGTTACAATTAAGAAATTGAAATTTTTATCAAAGATGTTAATAATACCTAACGATCAAATTCACAAAAAGTCACTTAAAAATTCGATCTATTTTTTTAAGAAGACATACAAAGTGTCTTTTTTACATGAAAATTATGCGAACGAACATTTATAAAGGATGTGAATACTCAAATTATCACTCACCCACACCCTTTCTATCAAAATAAATAAAACATACATCAATTCTTAAAATTGACCGATCTTAGAATTGCAATTAGAATTGATGCATCTATAGAGCAAAGTGCACTTATGGCATCTAATATGTGTTACTTTATTTTTCTATACATTGACCGTCGTCACCGTCCGATAATATGCCATCCAGTTTAGAGGTCAACATATAACCTACTCTTTTCATACGCCTGAAGTGTTATTCTGTAAGTTGCTCGGCAAATATATTATCCATATTTATTCATTCAATACATTTTGTTGCTTTATTTGAAACGTACGTATAGTGCAACTGTTGCAACCGAACAATGTGATTCAGTTAGCGCCTATGCAATATTTATATTACTCTGCAGCACCTTACGCTCACAAAGATATATGACAGATTTTTTTCATTGTTGTAGATTCTCAATTGTAAAAGTATTCCAACAGCTATGAACTACAAAAAGTTAGGAGCTTATGATGTAAGTTATCATAGAGAAAAAACATACAATATTATTTGTTTTATTTGATTATTTCAGTCTCAATCAGTTAATTCTAACTCACAAGAATTATTAGCTACTGAAAAAAATACATCGTATGTATATTTTAAGCTATATTAAATGATGAAAATGATTTATTATTCTAAATGTTTACATATTCGAAGAAAACTAATATTAAACATATTCGCTGGTATTGCTGTTATTTTGATCTTATTAACCATTATGTTTGCAACAACGATTCTGATATTTGAAAATGTAGATGTACAAACGATAAAACTAACAACAGGTATAGTTTTGTTAAAATGAAAATAACTCATAGTATTGAAACTGTTAATCAAATGTATGTTACAAAATTGTGATCTTATTCCTATTTGTTTTACTACTCATCTTTATTCTCATTAAAAATCCTTATCGTACATTTAATTTCAGGACGTTCTATCAACATTAATGCCACAACTACATGGATACAACATGCAATTACTGTTGCTGGAGGAAGAGAAGGAGGAAGACGATTAAATCAACTTTATAATCCTGATAGTGTCTATGTTGATGATGATGATAGAAGTATTTTAATTGCTGAATGGGAAAATGATCGTATTGTTAAATGGAAATATGGTGCAACAAGTGGACAAATTGTTGCAGGTGGAAATCGGCGAGGAAGTCGAACTAATCAATTATATAATCCTTCATATATGCTTGTTGATGAAAAAGATGATTCTTTGATCATTTGTGATCATGGAAATCGTCGAATTGTTCGTTGGTCACGTCACAATAGTAAAAATGGGCAAGTACTCATCTCTGATATTAATTGTCTTCGTCTGGCAATCGACAACAATGGAGATATTTACTACAGTGACCCTGCTCAGCATGTGGTAAGACGATGGACAAAAGGAGATACTTTTGGAACAATAGTGGCTGGTAGAAATGGACAAGGAAGTAATCTTAATCAATTGGATATTCCTACTTATATTTTTGTTGATGAAGACTATTCAGTTTATGTATCAGATTCTGCAAATCATCGTATAATAAAATGGTTAAGAGGTGCAAAAGAAGGAATAATTGTTGCTGGTGGACAAGGTGATGGAGAGAATTTCAATCAATTATCATATCCTGAAGGCTTATTTGTCGATCTATCGGGTAATATCTATGTTGCTGATAATGGGAATCATCGAATCATGCGTTGGCTGAAAGAATCTACAAAAGGTACTATTATTGTTGGTGGAAATGGTAAAGGAACAAAATCAACTCAATTTGATGATCTCAGAGATTTACGATTTGATCAACAAGGTAATCTCTATGTTATTGATAATGGCAATCAACGAATCCAGAAGTTTTATATCAATCCAAATTGATTTTGTTCTTTTCGTAAAAGTAGATACTCAATTATTATTAGTTGTTATTTGTTAAAATAAATTTTTCTTATGTTCTTTGAAAATATCTGAATTAATTACTATCATAACTAGTTTTAGAAATTTTGATTAGAAAAGTGTATTGGAGGTGTGGGTGGATATAGAATGACTATATACCTAAAGTCACATGCACACCAGCACGCATCCAGATTCTAAAGAACTAAGCTACAACTAATCTTGAGGATGGGTGTGGGTGTGGGTATGAGATCAATATAACACCCACATCTACCCTCAAGATATCGACATAGAAAGGGTGGCAAACAAAATGAATAGTCTAAGTTGGTAAAATTCTTTGTTTTCTTTTCAGCTGATGATAATATTATTCGTCTTGAAAGGGTTTCTTCTCTGCCCATAAGAGATAAGAACAAACCTTCATATATACGTCCGAGACAGTGTTACATTATAGAAAGAAACGAGAAAAATATTCATTCTCTCTTTCTGCTTTGCAATAACAAATAGGGCCTTTTTTTTTACCCTTGAAACTAGGAAAAAAAGAACCAAACTTTCATCTTGAGGGTGTTGGTATGGGTATGGGTGTAATACTCATCTTAAGTTCACACCCACCCTCACCCATACCCACGGAGTATTATACTGAGACTGGTTCGAAGCCACTGGTAATTCATACGCCTGGTCATGATTATTCACTACAGCAACGGATATATACAATGGAGAAGATAAGGAACGCAAGAAACGATGTGTACACGACTAACCGATGTGAGCGAAAAATCGTGAATGAGGAAGGTGTCATTAGATAATGTCGTGACATAATAATGTAAGAAGATGGTGCAATGAGATGAATAGACCAAGGGGTGAATCATATTCACCTCGTGGCATCTTTAGGTAAGCAACTGAGTATATATTGAGACTCATGTATGCTAAGCCGCAATGCGTTAGATATTTTATAGAAACATCTCGGTTGTTATCATTTCATTCTAGACAAAGATCGTTATCAAGCAATAATATTTTTGTTACATACAATACTCAAACAATTTAATTCACACATATCAGCACTGAAGATAACAAGCAAGTTTTCCATTTGATTAAGAAGAAATGCTAGTGCGTATCGAATTCGCAGTGTATTATTATGAATGTTTATTCTCGCAGTATTTTTTACGTAGTTTCATCTAACGAATTTGTTTTGGGTTCAATATTAAAACTAATCGATTAGTTTATCTTTAATCGTGTTGACGGTGTGGAAGTGGGTGTAGGTATAAGTGTTTGTCTTATCTTCATCTACGTACACCTACACCCACACCATCACCCACACCGATACTTAATGCTTTTGCAAGGCATCATATAAAACGCTGTATAACCTTTTCTTTCAGAAAACGGAATTAACAAAACGATGTCGAACAAAAGCACTACCAAAAATCGGCATCCATCTCCATTTCAGTCAGCCGGATCGTCTAGAATAACTTCTCAAGATGCTAAAGTTCCAGCTACGCTAATCTCGACTGTATACCGCATTACTCGTGATTTAGTCTTATTCTTTCATCGCTGGATTATCGTTAGGCTACTCAAGCTTCAACTGCTCGTCATCTTCGCCATCATCATCCTTGCTTCGCTCTTAAAGTCGCTGGAGTTGGCACCGACTTCTTATCAACCGAGAAAAAATAGCATATTGAATAAATACTTTGCCAAGTTTGGTTGGGGATGGACAATGGGGTTGCTCGTTCCGTTTGTTTGTGCTACCTTAATTACTAGACGTAGTCATTATCGAATCTGGATACGTCATCTACTTCGTTTGGTGGTAGCTACCGGTATTTGGTGGTGCATTACGAGGATGTTTGTTTGGTTTGAATCGTATACCGCAATGTGTAAGAATAACAGAACGCCAGGCGCGTCAAAAAAAGTATGTGTAGGCGGCGGACATGAATGGCAAGAAGGACACGATATTAGCGGACATACATTTTTGCTGCTCTACGCCCTTTTAATCATCAACGAAGAAGTAAAAGCGTATGACAAGGATACCAATGGACTAATCCAGCCCAATAAATCTGCGAATACGAGTGGCGGCACATTGAATATCATTCGAATCATCTTCTATTCAGCCTTGGCAGCGTTAACCATTGTTTGGGAAATCGCGCTTCTGTCCACAGCTCTTTACTACCATCATACATACGAGAAGATCATTGCGGCTATTTTGGCCGTCTTCTTCTGGTATATTACTTATCGTGTGTGGTATCGTCGTGAGGGTCCCTCTCTCTTACGTCCATCATCGCCCACATATTGAAGCGGCAGATGAGTATATTAGCTAACCCTTTTTTGTTTGCGTCTGCGGGCTGCTCCTTTTTCATGTCTTTATTTTACCCAATGAAAAATGTTTATTTAATAAAATAATCAAGAACGCTCCCAAAACAAATCTTGAGGGTGTGGGTTTGGGAACTGTATCCCTTTCTCACGCTTACCTACACCCACATCCACCTTTGTTTGATAAAGATTTATTTGATTTTCAAGAGTAACAGGATTAATTAACAATAAACAGAGGAAGAAATTTTTTTTAAAAAAAGCAGCATATTTTTCTTTTTTTGTTAAATGGATATAGATGCTTACTTTATAATCTTATCATATTTAACAATGATAAACACATAACTAAATCATAAATCCTTTTACGCCTGTTTTTTATTATTCGTAAAGCAAATAATAATAAAAAATTATTTTACTAAATTTTCAATATTTTCATTTCAAGAAAGTATATATATATAGGATTTGGTATCCGTCAAGAATGTCCTTTAGAAAATGTCCTGGACGAAATGTCCTACAGTTTTGGTCCTTTAGAAAATGTCCGGTGTTATAAATGTCCTCTCTACAAAAAGTCCTTTAGAAATAGTCTTTTGACATATAGTCCTACGAGAAAATGTCCTTCATTATTAAAATGTCCTTTGGCTATAAAATAAAAAACTAGTCGATAAGTAATGTGAATCATATATTTGTATTACTATGACGAGTTAGTGTGGATGAGGGTGGGTGGGTGTGGGTGTAGATGTGGGTGAGGGTGGGTGGATGTAGGTGAGGGTGGGTGGATGTGGGTGAGGGCGTGGGTGTTGAAAGAGTAAAGTACCCACCCACACCCTTTTCTTTTCTTCTACTCATTGTATATAAAAGTAAATCCTCTATTCGACTTACTTAGAACACTATGAATTTTAGTTAAATTACAGCGTCATCTATGTTTTAGATACACTTCATTCGAAATTCTCTTATTTAAATATAAAGGACATTTTTCAATGCCGGACCAATTCTTAGAAGACATTTTGTCCAAAGACATTTAGTTCGGGGACGTTTTCTAAAGGACAATATCTAAAGAACATTTTCTGAAAGGACCAAAACTGTAGGACATTTCGTCCAGGACATTTTCTAAAGGACATTCCTGACATGATTCCAATGAACTTTGTTATTTGGTTCGCTGTTGAACTATGCCTCCAGTAACAGTTATCATATCTTCCAGATTTTTATTGAATAACATTTTTAGAATTCAATAATGCGTATCGATATGCATGCATCTAGCATTGGATCCTGTAGGATTTGATTATTCGACAGAACCCTATAGAATTCCGTCAATAAAATATTAGTTACTACAAATCTTCAGAGACTAAACAGATACATCTCACACCCTCTTCAGTTATAGATAATAATAAACGAATGAAATAAATATATGTTTTTTTATTGTTGCACGACAAAAAAATTGGTGAAAAGCTTATAGCAAAGTCTGTGCAATATATACTTATTAAGAAAAAAAATGTTTTATATCTTAAATGAAATTTTCATTTCTTCGTTTATTAACAAATATCGATAATGATCATCGATAACGTGGTTGAAAAGGTGGAATTCCTATTGGATTTGTATTTAGCCAAGAACCAGGATATGGATTCGGTCGACAATTAGGACATGGATTTACGAAAGGACCACTATATGGGTTTTATCCAGGAATAACGTTTGGATTATACGGAGGACTATGGTGATGTTGACGATGACGACGATGATAATGATGATGAGACGATCGAGATCTATGAGCGGATCTTTTCTGCACGATATGTTCAATCTTATTGTTATCTAGATTTGTATCGATGGTTTCCAAGACAAGATCTGATAATTGTTTCTTCAACATACCATGCGTCAAGTCAATCACTTTGGTACTTGTTAATTTGAACATTAAATTAAATAAAAATAGACTTATAAACAAAAATGTTAAAGTCGTTGTTAACTTCATTTTATATGTATGTTATATTGTTAAAAAATTCAATAATGAATATAAAATATCCTGTACATTTTCGTAAATACTTTTCGCTGCTCTTATCATATTGCGCATGTTTAACTCAGATAAAAAGAAAAGGTCAGAGGTAATTCGATAGTTCAGTAATGGTGTGAAATTAGTTTTTTTAATTTCTTATTTTATCTATCATTATCTCTTTTGTTTTGATATTAAGAGAATCATTTTTCTTTTTATGTAGATCAACAAAAATAAATAATAATTTAAATTTCTGCATGCACTATATACTTTGATAAATGATCTTAATCTTCAAGGTGATCAGTGAAGATGAATTAGATATACTCATACCCTTCTTAGAAACTGTTGAGTCTACGAGTTCTCTTCTATTTCACTTTGAGATTTGCACATTATAAATAATTCTTCTTCACTTGATTCTTTGTAAGTTTGATTTGAATCATATATGAAACACAACATGAGAAGAAAAATGTTCTTATCTACAATTTTATTTGGTATGAGTAATGATCGAAAAACAAAAACAATCATCAAATTCAGCATGAATGCTTCAGATTATTTATTATCCTTTTTCTATTTATAATAAACTTTCGAAATAATTTGTTATTCCAGTTCAATATGAATCTAATCAAACGACTCCTGGGAAAGAAGACTCGTTATATCATGTGAGTCATAAAGGAGTTTTCAATAGTTTACAATACTTTCTTTTGTCTATCGAAGATGTGGGTGTAGGTCATACACCCACATCCGACACCCTCAAAATTAGCCATAACGGTTTTGTTTAATTGAATGAATGCAGTAGCAATAGCTGGTCTATGCTGCATAGTTAAGGCATTATTTGGACAAAAATCTAATATTTCATTAAACGACTTATCGTTAATTGTGCTACTTCATCATGGGTATCGAGTGATAATAAAGAAGCTAATGGCAACGACATTAGAATAAACTGATATTTTGTTTCAACACACTATTTACCAAAATATATAGAAAATGATGATCAAGATAGATCCTAAGTGTATAGTAATAATTATTATATGATGAGGGTGTGGGTATGGGTGTAATACTCATCTTACGTTCACACCCGCAGCCACTCTCACCCACCCATGCACAATCGCACCTACACCCACCCTCAAGATGTGTGTGACGCTATTGTGGTATGCACATTGGTAATCTAAAGCAAACACAATCACACACCTACACCCTCAAGAACAATCTGGGACTAAGTAAATCGAGTTTGGATATAGAAGAAAAAATGAATATGTTAAGTTTTATTTTTATTTATTTAGTAGGCATAAAGCGTGATTAATATGAATATATTTATTTAATAAAAATAAAGCGTGATTTATATGACTAAAAGTGAAAAGCAAGAAAACCTTTGTTTATTTAAGATAAATTTGTAGTTGGATTAACTCTACTATTTACCCGGCACATTGTTTTGACGACAATAATAGCAATTAATCGACAAATAATAACTAAGCCACCATATAAACCAATTAATGTTAATATTCCTTCGATAGCATTCCGTTTATCAACATATGAATAAATACATATTAATGGTGAACATGCATTAAAATAATTTGAATAATTTATTTGAAATTTTAATTCTTCAATCATTAATTCATCGACAACTGATTCAATTGTTTGATTTACTGAAAAACGACTTGTTTCTAATGATGAATCATTTATTGATTTGAAATTATTTGTTGAATCAATACATGTTTGATTATAAAAACAGTGTAATGTTGTTTGAAATATTGATTCAAGTGGATAACAACCAATTAGCATTCCAAAAGATGAACTGACGCATTTAGACGACACTGAACAACTACATCCAGTATAATTTAAGGGAAACATATACATAAGCCTTTCACCAGAGCTGGGAGCTAGACGATCAAACTCCAAATTACTTAGATATTTAGTCATTAACATATTACTACTAGTTGTTCCTCGAACTAATGAAATACTATTGACAAATGATTGTGAAATTGTTTGTTGAAATTCATTAATAAACTTTTCAATTGTATTATTTAAGATATTTAATGATAAAAGTTGATTATTAATATAGTCCGTTGTTCCTAATTGAAAAATTGATTCAGAAACTGTTTCTTTTGATAAATTACACAATGAGGAAAGTATTTTAAATTGTCCAACAGCTGAATTATAAAAGTTATATGGTGAATGTCGTCTATCATTATCTCTTTTCTCATATAAATATAAAAGCCACCGATCTGTAATAAATTCACTTGAACATATTTCATGAAAACGAGTTGTTAAAGTTAAAAATGATTCATATTTCATTGATAACTGTGAACATGGACATTCCAATGTATCGTTATATTCTTTATATAAATCTTCATAGATTTCTAATGATGGTTCATTCGTTGAAATAGGAGTTATATGAGGAGTAAAAGTCGAAAACATATAAAATGTAGTAAGAATTGCAATAACTAATATCACATGTAATCGATGAATAATTTGATTTTCAGTATGACAAATAAAAATTTGTTTAATGAAATTGAATGAAATTGGATGAAAGAAATTATTTGAAAAAATTTTATTAATAAATTCCAAACTAATCATAATTAAAAGTTTCAATGCAAGTGATAAACCACCAAAAATACTTATAATAGTTGTAATACTAATAAAAATATTATTTCGACCATCATATTGATATGTACATGATAATGGTAAACATTTTTTATAATATGATGAAAAAGAAACAGTTGGTAACCAATTTTCAACCATTAATCGATTGAGAATTATTCCAATTGTTTCATTATATTCATTCAAATCTGGATCAAGAGCGGAAAAATTGAAAGGTACTGGAGAATCTATACGTTGATGAACTATTAACATGCATGATAGATTATAAAAACATTCTAACGTTGATACAAATAATGATTGAGTTGGATAACAACCATAAAAAATATTCGAAACTGGATATCTAAGTTCTCGGTGTGTAACATTTGCAAGGTCAGTAAAAATTGTAACAGTAGAATTATAGAATGAAGATAAAATACAATTGGATCCATGAAATGTTTTTGAGGTTATATATACTTCTGAATTTCTATCTACTTCAAAACTACCGGTATGTGTACTGCTAGTCAATTGATTTCCTTGATAAATTTGTTGAATTAATTGAATAGTTCTTTTAAAAGTATTTGTCGTTGTTAATTTCCAGTCTTTAATCGATGAATTTATTTGATTTTCAAACGGTTTTTGTGCAAGAACTTGTGAACTAACGAATTCTGTCCTGAGAAAAATCTCAAGTGCATTAACGACGGTTTTTTTAGCTTGTTTACAAAATACTGATAGTAATTGAAAATAACTAGTAGAAATTATTCGATAATCAAACTCAGGTAGAATCTTTGTTTTGAAACTTTCCTTCATGTAATGAATCCATTTTTCAGAAATGAGATCACTTTGACATAACTGATGATATTGTGGTTCAATTCTCGTAAAATTGGAATAAGATATTAATATTGAATTGCATGGACATGAAAGTGATCGAGGATATTTTTCTTGTAGTTGAGTAAACTGAGATTCAGTAGGATAAAAGATCGTTTTTGATTGAATTGATTTTTGTAAAAATACATAAATAGTTATAATTATCATTAAACCAATGAGAAGAAATAAATACAATCGTGTTGCATAACGTTGAAATTTCGTTTGTCGATCTGTATTAGAAGAGTGTTTGAAAATGTTCAATTCAATGAATTTCTTTTGAATCATTTCTTTCAATCGATATAAACGATTTTTAACTAAATATTAAGAGAAGAAATATGGTTTTATTTTATCAAAATGCACAAAATCAATTTCTTTTAACTATCGTTATAACTAAAATCATCAACTGAATATCATTAACTTTTTTTTTCGTTCTTTCATGTTTTTCTTTTTTTCTGTTCAATTCTTAATTACTAATTTGCTACTTTTTCACTTTCTCATTGATAGTAATTTCTACTTACAAGAAATTTGTGGTTTTGGTGTTCGATCTCGTCGTTGCATAATGAATCGCATAACCAGCGGAATTATCAATCCCAGTATTAATATCAAACTAGACAATAAACTAATCAATTTTTTCAAGACATAACCAAAATCTCGTCGAGATATTTTTGAATAAGTACATGAAGATGGTGCACATTCTGAATAATATTTATCATAAGAAATATTCATTATCCAATCTTCAATCATTAAATTATCAATTATTAATTGGATAGTTGATGTTGGTTTATATAAACTTTTATTATTTATACTCATCGCTGTAAATTTGTCACTTGTTGGAAAATATTCAATAAGTTTGTTGACACATGTTTGATTGTAGAAACATTCAAGTGTCGACGATAGAATTGTAAATCCTGGGAAACAACCTGCTGACATTCCTGGTGTAGACCATGTCAAATCATCCATGGGCTTATACAAATTCTGTCTTCCAAATGTATCGACAATACCTGACTCTATTTGATTACAATTGTTTAGATTGCAATCGCACGTCGAGCCATTCGTTTGTGGGTAAGTATGTATATGTGAACTATGTCTCCCGTAGCTATCCATGAAAAAGATGCTAGTTTGTAGTGTAGGCATTAAGTCATTGGCGATTGTCATTTCGATGATTAATTTTAGTTGAATATTAAAAGTATTTGGTGTTTTTAGTTTGAATTGTTCAATTTCTGCATTGATGTGTGCGTGCAGAGATGCGTTTGATAAGATTTGTGGACTTATCAATGTATTTTGAAAAACGACGTTAACACTTTGATTAGTATATGATTTTGACAAACGACAATAAGCAGCAAGTGCTTGAAACTGCGCATTACCAATACGTCGAAAGTCTCGAAAATTAAAATAAGTTGTATTTGTTTTCGAATCAATTGCATTTAGCCATCGATCAGTAATAAAATCACTTGAACAAACTTGATGAAAACTTGTTTCCAATGACATAAATTTTTTATATGGAATAGAAATATGAGAACATGAACATTTTGCATTGATAGGCAGACGTTGAAATTGTTCTTTTGTTGGATTTGATATAGTAACCATCGTCGATTGTTCAAGTAATAATAAAATGAGACCAATAATAAAAAGAATGAATATGATAAGTATAATATAAGTTCGTGTACCAATAATATTCCACCGACGTTGTTGATCATTTTCTTGTTCATTGGAATCGGATGATGGTGACAATAAATTTAAATTCAGAAGGTATTCTTTTAACGCAGGCATTTGTCACAGTATAACAAATACCACTCGTAAATATTTATTTTGATTATTCTGAATATAAAATTAAAAATTTCATGAAAAAAAAACGCTACTATTGTCAATTAATGTCTCATTGCTCCGTTATCTCATTACTTTGTTACATTAAATATCAGTATTTTAGATTTAAAGACTATATAATATCTAGAGAATCATATCATGAAGGTGTGAGTTTTTAATATCAAACACTTACTTGAGTCAGCTTAAAACCAAAATGAAGAAAAACAAAGTTGGAGATGCGTAAAATGGGAGAAAAGAGTTTCTCTATTTGACGGGATTATTCATCATAAATTTAATAAATGAAGACAAAAAAAACGTGCTTTTTATTATTTTGGATCTATCATTGACTTCATAAATCAAAATATTTCTAATAATGTTAAGGAAAGTAAAATCATAGTTTTCCCTCAGATTCATCATTCATAAAAGATTAGAATAAATTAACAATATGCACGTAGGTGTTTAACATATAGAAAAAAAAGTAGAAGAATGATTTAGATATAATTATAAATCATATTTTTTGAACTTTTATGCTGTTCAACAAGGACTACATAAGTATGAATACAAAATGTCTTCGAACTAAAACGATAGATTATCATTTACTGGGATAAAGATACATATATTGATATGAAAATATTCACTAATCCTAATTCTGAGAATTGGTGGAATTGATATTCATCATCTCAGTACTTCTATGCTTTTTGAGCGAATTCATGTTTTTATATATTCTTTTTATCGAACTTCAAGATATTATTTCATTCGTATTTGTATATCTCTTTTTTTGAGAGAAATTTTTAATCCATTTTTCAATATGCTTTTAGAAAACTCTTGATTTCGATTGATTTAATATTTCTCTTTTTATTATAAAGTGTTTGGAATTGATTGATATTATTTGAATAAGAAATCTTTTTATGTATTTCTCATTCACTTTATTTTATATTACTAGAGAAGAGAGATTAAAGATCTTTTTCATTAGAATTGATTAATTCATGATGAAAATATTTCGAGAGTATTTTAAACGTTAAACATTTATTTTATTTGATTTATAAATTCTTTGGTTTTATAATATGATTTGGTAATCATAATTGTTCATAATGAATTTAAAAGTGAATAATTAATCTTTACTTGATTTTGTTTATTAAATAAATATGAGAATTCTTCATTCTAACTAATGACTTTATTAAAATACGAGAAAAATTTCTTAAAAAAATAAGTCTATTAATTATTCTTTGCTCTCGCCCATGAAAAACTGTATCTCGATGTGGGTGTGGTTGTTGATATGATTTTCATGTATGCCAGATATTCAGACATACACCCACATCCACCTTCGAAGAGTTTTTAGTCGGGCCGATTTTCTTCTATATTTATATAAAGTGACTCGAAAATGGAAGCCAAATCTTAAAGAAATAAAAAAAAACATGATTGATGATTAATTTAATGACCGTGCTATTGTAATGCCTCTTCAAAATAAATTTTCTTTCATCGATCATTTATGTGTTATTTATCTGCACATATAAAAGCATGTCACCAATTGCGCATGAGAATTCTTGGCACGACATAAATACGTCATTGGCTTATGCTCATATGAATTATATTCATCATCAAACCATCAGCAGCTTTTTTTTTCATCTTTTATCTTTTTCAGGCGTCTGTCTATGTATAATTGTATATTGTATTCAATTTCTTTTTGTTTTATTTTGTTTTTGTATACTTCATTCAGAATCCATTCGACCATTTTGGATGGGTGTGGGAGAGGACTAAGGGTTTCTTTATTCGCATGCACACTCTCACCCACACCCTAGTATTGATGCGAGATTTATTTTTTGATTTCCATATTCTTCACTACAAGTAAAGATGAAATTTGAAAATATTTCAGCATTTTCAAATCGTAATAATATCGGTATTTTACCTTTTAAGCAATTAGCACGTTCCCGGAAACAAGATGAATTTTACAGGAAGTAACACTCAGTCACTTATTATTTACCTCATCATCATACCATCCTGAATGTGTCCCCATGACAGTTAAAAAAAATACAATCCTCAAAAATATGTTTTAAATGTTTACATCTTTTTTATGAGTATTATTTTCATCATCGCATTCGTTCAAAACTTATGTATCTTTTTAAAATAATATATCAAAGGAATAATAATAATGATAAACACGCGTTGAAAAAAATTTTTATTTTGTTTCTGTTAAACGGAGAAAAAAAATTTTTTTTTCATTGACTTTCAAATGTAGTATTTTTTACTTAATTAAATGCACAACAAATTCTTACTTTACTATGAATAAGAAAAAAAAATTTCGTAAGTATTAACAGCTACCAAACATATATGCTTACGGAGTTATATAAAAACAGATCAATTTTCTTCGCCTATTTTTTTCTTTATATGAACAGTCAATTGTTTTGAATTGAATCTGTCCAGATTATTATGTTAGATGTTTTTTTGTTTAAAATAATTATTTTTTTTTCATGACATATAATTAACCTCTTATTTTGCGAACTATCGAATGGAGCATAATAAAAAAAAATAGAAGCGTCATCAACATGATGGTGCGATGTTAAGCAACAGTATGCCTTGGAAACTCTTGAGAAAATTAATAGATTGTTTTTACCTCTCATCTTGCTTAAAAGGACGTTTAACGATAGACAAGTTTTTTGTGATTCTAAATGATAATCATAATTTCATTATTGAAAAAAAAGAGTAATGATAAGTTTACTTTATCAATATGTTATAGTTCATTTTTAAGAGTAAATATTCTTTGTTTGACTAAAATAATTATGATTCATTACATCCTATATAAAAGGCAATAGCCATAAGATACATAAACTTGCTTTTGTTTCTCTTCTAAGAGGGCAATTATGAGAACAATAAGAAATCAGAGTCTACATAAAAAAATATTTTTGTAATTTTTTATGTGCATTTGAATGAACTATACAAAAGTTAGTCAATACTGGATTTTCAACAGTACATAACAATAATCAAAAGTTGTTCTTTAGAGATATATTAAGGTTATTCTATGATGAATAAGAGAGAGAATGAGATATTTAAAATGATGAATGTCCTTTTTTTAAATGAACTCAATCCAGGCTGAATTTTGTTTATGTCATGCAAATTTTAATTATCTAAAAAATGTTGAAAAAATATGTTCACAACCAGGACGATATAAAGTTTAGATCGTTGAATAATTAGGAGAAATATCAGTTCGAATCCTTTCTGTATTGTGCATTTCCAGGTAAATAAATTCGAGAGTAATTTCATCACCCGAATTCATCGAGTTGAACTGATACGTAGGAACGATATTCAATATTCTGACAGAGATTTTCCTAATACATTAATAATAATGAATAGCAATGTCATACTTAATGTAAAAAATGTTGTACTTTTGTATATTAAGAAGGATATAGTTCGGCCAGGTGTATAAGCTTCATTCTTAATAGATCATGAAAAATCCTTAGTTAAAAACAATATATGAATGAGAAAGACGTATTTTTTTTTGACGTCCATATGGCATTCTGATGAGAATATCTTTGAATTGCACAACTGTGTTCTATATTATAACAATTACTTAAACTAAATGCATTACGCAAAAGCTTTTTCCTTATTATTATTAAAAAAAAAATCATCTGCAAAAATCTTTTTTTTTTCTGTTCTTAAAGTTTACTTTAAACGTTTATTATTTTTGAGTCTTGGTAGAAAAAAAAATATTTTTAACTAAATAAAGTCATTTCATTATATTCTTAGTTGAGAAAATGTAGAGATGCATATTTTCTTGTAAGAATATTTTGTGAATACATACAAAACACAAATTACATTTACTAAAGGTAAGATAAAATCTAATAACTATGCAGTTTTCCAAACATCTACAAAAAAAGATTCGGTGAAATATGATATACAAAATTGTTTTTGAATAGATATAGTATTATAATTTTAAAAATGATGTCGTTAGTAATCTATTAAGAGTTAAGTTTTTTTTTTCGAATCTATCTTTATCTTTATTCAAATATATAAACACACAATCTATTCAAACTCACTTATAAAAAACACACATATATATGAAAGATCACACAAAGAGGTGAATGATACCTGATCGAGCTGAAGGAGAAGAAAATAGGCGACGCTTGTAGCATAACTATTTCTTCTTATTCTATACTAAACAAAATATTTGTACTACAAATATTGTCTGAAGATAAATCTGAACGACTTTTTCATAATTTGCGAGTCTAGTTATCCACGGTGGATTCCGTTAATCGAATTTCTCTACGTTCATAAAAGATTCTTTCGGAGTTCGAAACATCAGCCCGGGTAGCTCAGTCGGTAGAGCGTGTGGCTTTTAACCACAATGTCCAGGGTTCGAGCCCCTGCTCGGGCGGTCCTTTTTTTTCTATAACTGACTAATTTTTAACAATTCTTTTTAGTTGTTATAACTGTTACGTAACTGATGAGCGGATACTAGTATGTGATACCCAGTCACATCCGATATGACATATTTGTTTGTTTATCGTATCTTTCAGTTAGAACTTCGAGTGAAGAGATAATCGTACAAAGAACAAACAAATAATTTCTAATACGTAAAATTTTTTTGTGATTGTTTGAATAGTCAGCACAATATTAACGATGGCGCCACTTGATATACAAACATTTTTGAAATGATATTTTATTCTTTCATATAGAAGTCTCTAATGGTGATCAAGTAAGAAATAAACTTAGTTTAATTTCTATACATTATAGGACAAGTTCATATCTGAAATATTAGAAAAAAATTCTGAACTCTGGAAAATCCCACAAATTTGACGGCCTTGAATATTGCTTTCATAAAATCTACAGAATCCTTCGAAGCCGATCATTTTCTTCTTGTACTATCTGATCTAAGCAATGGCTTTCATAGAAATTTTAGGGTATTCGAACAAAAAATGCATAGTATTTTAAATGGTTTCGCCACAGTTTAAATGACAGAATCGCTCATAAATCCCTAAATTGTAAGTGAGTTCGGAGAAAATCCATGACAAATTCACGGGCGTAACTAGGCATGCGCCGAACCCGGGTGCAGACCGAGAATCTCGAGTTGGGTCATTCCTGGAACCTTAATACAAGACTTACGAGGGAAGCCCACCAAGTGTTCCCTCGTTAGTTTATATGCGTAATTTTTCTCTCAGATATCGTTAATCATATAATATGATAATGAATTATGTTTTAGATAATCAATATGATATTATTTGACTTTTTTAATATGTGGCTATTGCTGCTATTTACTGGACCAATATTGGGTACGTATTTGATATACTTTTCAAAGTTGTTAGAGTAACACCGAAGCTATTGAGCTTCGATCTTTTTTCGTAAATAAATGTCATGCTTGTAACAGACAACAATATTCATGAGTCTTACTGACTAGTCAAACAGTATATACACATGAATATTTACAGCTAAGCAGAAGGAGGCAAATATATAATTGACGGATGATATTTATTCTATCTATAAAACTAAGAAATAATGAAGATCATAATAAAAATTTTCTGTCTATAGCTATACTCGATATAATAACTACATTTTCAAGACTCTGATTATGTCAGTATGCTGAGTTTTTGACAATCTTTATCGTTCAAATTTGCAATCATAGTTTTCTTATTTTACCTAGGTGTTCCGTACAATCAACCAAAACTTTGTGCAAATGCATCGTGGAATTCCACAGCGGTAACGTTCGCGAATAGCACTGCAGTTGGTACAACTCCCTACGGTATTTTTGTTAATTCAAATAATACCGTCTATGTGGCTGATCGATTAAATTCGCGGATTCAAGTATGGCTTAACGGGAATACGACACTCACAAGAACTATCTCTGGTGGTTTGAGCCTGCCTTATAGTCTTTTTGTCACGGACAACGGTGATATTTATGTCGACAATGCCAATACAAATCAACGGATTGACAAATGGGGATCAAATTCAAATAGTAGCGTGCCAGCGATGTATGTTTGCGCACAATGCTATGGTGTTTTCGTCGATATCAATAATATGCTTTATTGTTCGATGTATGCTTCACATAAAGTTATTTCACAATCATTGAATAACAGCGTAAATATATGGAATTTGGTTGCTGGCACGGGGACCGCTGCAAAAACACCGCCTACACTTTATAATCCTCGCGGAATCTTTGTCGATAATAATTTAAATTTGTATGTGGCTGATAGTACCAATGATCGAATTCAAATATTTCCATCAGGACAATTAAATGGAACAACAATATCAACAGGAACTATCGTAATAAATAATCCAACTGCAGTTGTTCTCGATGCTGATGGATATGTCTTTATTGTTGATAGTAGTAATCATCGTCTTATTGGTTCAAATGCTAACGGATTTCGATGTATTGCAGCTTGTTCTGGACAAGGATCACAATCTTATCAATTATCGAACCCATTAACTCTTAGTTTTGATAGTTATGGAAACATATTTGTTACTGATCAAACCAATAGTAGAATTCAAAAATTTCTTCTCATCACAAATTCATGTAGTAAGTAAAAATTAATTACATGTCACATTAAACAATAAATGGGTGTGAGTATAAGTGGACAAGAGTCAAAATTCTGCTTATCCATATTCATAACACACTCACACATATCCTTATCCTCAAACTTGGGAGAGAAAATCTTGTCCTGTGTTTATTTTTGAATAAAATTATTCTTTTTAATTCAATTAAATTCGATTTTTCTTTTAGATGGAACGACAACAAATACAACTAGTATTTTCATATATTTTCTCATCAATTATACTTTACTAATAATTTATATTTCTTTTTACTAGTAACTTCAATCAATACTACTCAATCAGTTCCTCTTGTTACAAACTCGACAACTGCATCATCTTCAAAACGTATGCAATTCTTTTTTTAGTTTCTCGATCTGCTGAGAAGTTGTTGTATCTTTGCATAAACGATTCTAGAGAGTTTCTGAAACACGTTATTAATGTATTAAGTTAACTAAAGGAGAAATAAATCTTTGAGTAGATTCTCGACCATAAAGACCAAGTATTGGTTCGTTATGGTTTACATAACCTCCATGAGTACGAACTTATTAAGGGTAGATGGTTTTGTCATCTTTGATGCTGTTTAATAATTATTATACGAACTTTTCATAAATATATTTTTACAGCTCTTTCGTACAATCTACTAAAATTCGCTACAAATACTTCTTGGAGTGCTAATGGAATAACTTTCGTCGATTCAACCGTAACTGGAGCATTTATTTATACTGTATTTATTGATACTAATAATACTATTTATGTGTGTGAGTGGATTGCAGCTCGTATTCAAGTATGGCATGAAGGTGATACCGCACCCACAAGGAACATCAGCGGTGATTTAATTCGTCCATATACTATGTTTGTGGCTCTTAATGGTGACGTTTATGTTGATAATGGTCTTTCAAATAGTCGCGTCGATAAATGGACAACAAATTCAACTGTTAGTGTTCCGGCAATGAATGTAAAAGCCGCGTGTTGGGGACTTTTTCTCGATATTATGAACAATCTTTATTGTTCAATAGCTGCAACCGATCAAGTTGTTGTGAAATCAATGACTACAAATTCAGACATGTGGAGAGTTGCTGCTGGTTCAGATTGTGCAGTGCCAACAACAAATACACTTAGTAGTCCTCGAGGAATTTATGTTGATACAGATTTAAATTTATATGTTTGTGATTGTGGACATAATCGAATTCAATTATTTTTATCAGGACAACTAATTGGACAAACGGTTGCAGGTACTGGAGCAACAGGAACTATTGATCTCGCTTGTCCTACTGGAATTACTTTGGATGCTGATGGTAATCTATTCATTGTGGACTATTCTAATCAGCGTATCGTTGCGTCAGGACCCAATGGATATCGTTGTTTAATTGGATGTATAGGTACTGCTGCTGCGACGTCAAATCAGTTATCAAATCCAACATTCGTAACTTTTGATACTTATGGAAATCTATATGTTGCCGATGATTGGAATAGTCGAGTTCAAAAGTTTCTTATAATAAATACTTTTACTAGTAAGTACATTGGAATTTTCTTTTTACATTGTATTTTTGAAATCTTCATTGCAATAAATAGTCTCTATTATCGATAGTCTATCGTTGAGAATGAAGATTAGAAAATATCTGAAATATCGAGTTTCTAAATTGTCCTCTCAATTAAGAGAATACATCCTATCCCGCGATAGTGAACATTGGGTGTGGGTGTGGGTGTGGATGCATGTTGATTATTTCTCTACACCCACACCCACACCCTAAAACAATCAAACGAGATATCTAATCGATTTTCATTTTTTCCTTAGGTGTGACTGTTAATCAACCAAATTTTTGTCCATCTACAACTTGGTATACAGCAGGTATTACAATTACCAATAGCAGTACAGTTGGCACACGTCCATATGGTGTTTTTGTCGGTATTAACAATGCTATTTATGTAACGGATCAAGATCATGATCGGGTTGTTATGTGGTCCGAAGGAAGTATTAACCCAAATAAAATTTTTTCTGGTGGTCTCAATGACCCATATGCTGTTTTTGTTATTCCGAATAATGACTTATATGTTGATAATGGTATAAGTTATAGTCGAGTCGATAAATGGTCATCGAATTCAAATACAAGTACTCCTGCATTGACAGTTCCCCAAGAATGCTATGGGCTTTTTATTGACACTAGCAATGTTATTTACTGTGCATCAACTGCTGCTAATAAAGTTGTCAAGAGGTGGTTAAATGACAATGTAACGACATCATCAATTATTGCTGGTACAGGTACTGCAGGAGCAACTGCAACTACATTAAATCGTCCTGTCGGAATATTTATTGATACTCAATTTAATTTATATGTTGCAGATTCTGCTAACAATAGAATACAAATGTTTCCATTAAACGTTTTTACTGCAGTAACAATAGTAGGCGCAACTGCACCAGGCACAATTACACTTAATACTCCATATGGAATAACACTTGATGCAAACGGATATCTTTTTATTACTGATTATAATAATAATCGAATAATCGGATCAGGACCATATGGTTATCGATGTTTATTTGGATGTACAAGTGTTGCTGGTTCTGCATCGACTCAATTACATTTCCCATCAAGTTTAAGTTTTGATACTTATGGAAATTTATTTGTTGCTGATTATTATAATGGTCGTATACTAAAGTTTATATTAACATCAAATTCATGTAGTAAGTTATTTTTAGTTTATGTTTTTGATGATATACATTTATTTATTTTAGGTCTTTCTTATAATCAACCAACATTTTGTTCTAATTCTTCGTGGTATTCTAATGGATCAACTTTTGCATCAAGTAGTACAATTGGTTCATTACCTTATGGTATTTTCATCGATGGAATCAATACGGTGTATGTAGCTAATCGAGTTAATAATACGATTCCCGTATGGCCACAATGGAGTAGTACACCGACAAGATATATCTCTGGTAATTTGAATCGTTCATACAGTATTTTCGTTAGTATTAATGGTGATGTTTATGTGGATAATGGTTATACAAATGGTCGAATTGATAAATTTACATTTAATACATCAAATGTAATTACTGTAATGAATGTTAGTGGAAGTTGTTATGGTTTATTTATTGATAGTATTAATAATTTATACTGTTCACTTAAAGATTTTCATCAAGTTGTTAAACTCTTACTTAATAATGGTACAACCATTCCGACAATAGCAGCGGGAAATGGTTCTGCCGGATCACTATCAAATATGCTTAATTCTCCTCAAGGAATCTATGTTGATAGTAGTTTAAATCTATATATTGCAGATAGCGCTAACAATCGTATTCAATTCGTACAAACTGGACAATTAAATGGAGTGACAATCGCCGGAAATGGATCATCAACAAGTATTATACTCAACTATCCAACCGGAATTGTTCTTGATGCTAATGGTTATTTATTTATTGTCGATAGTTATAATCATCGTATTGTTGCTTCAAGTTCTTCTGGTTTTCGATGTTTAGTAGGATGTTCAGGTGGTGGTTCAACATCCTCTCAACTATCTTATCCACAGAGCATGGCTTTTGATAGTTATGGAAATATATATGTTACTGATCGAAATAATAGTCGAGTGCAACAATTCACTCTTCAATCCAACAGCTGTGGTAAGTTTGTTTGTGTATAAGTGGAACATTATGAAGTTTTACTTGATAATTAGTTTTTTTTTGGGACTATTCTGAGGAAAATTGACAAAATGAAAATCACATGATGCTTGAATCATTTGATCTCATGTTAATGTTTTTAGTATAACTTCCCTCTAATTTCATTGAATAAAGCACAACTGTTTTATGTTTCAGCAACACCGACTACTACCACCACTACTACTACTACGAGCAGCAGCAGTACGACTACTAGCACTACTACTACTACCGCCACCAGTACCACAAGTAGTACTACCACTACCACTAGTACTACAACAAGTAGTAGCAGTACCACAAGTAGTACTACCACGAGCAGCAGTAGTACCACAAGTAGCACCACTACCACCAGCAGTACTTCAACTAGCACCACGACCACAAGCAGTACTACCTCAAGTAGCACTACTACTACCACCAGTACTACAACAAGTAGTAGCAGTACTTCAAGTAGTACTACCACAAGTAGCAGTAGCACTTCAAGTAGCACCAGTACCACCACAAGCAGCACTACCAGTACTACTACTACCAGCACTACCAGTACTACTACTACCAGCAGTGACACTACTACAAGTAGCACTACTACAAGCACCACTACCAGTACTAATAGTACGAGCAGCGACACTACTACAAGCAGCACTACTACTACTAGTACTACTACAAGCAGCAC